CATAATAGAAATACAGATTTATTGAGTGCTTATGTACCAGCCACCCAGAAAGAATTTTGTATAAATGATCTAATTTTATTATTACAATATCTGTTTGAATTGGTATTATTAATTTCCAATTTGTGGAACAGATGGTGAAGTTTAAAGAGGTTAATTAAGGTAACGTGAATACTTAATTAGTATTATTAGGATTTTAACAAAAGTTATGAAGTGGGATTTGAGTCATCTTCAGCCTGACTTTAACATATGCTTCAAACTTATACTAATTTAGATTAACTGTTGCTATAACACAAGTATAAAGGAGTCAAACCCCGTATCAAGTGATGTTCTTATTTACTTGGTAAGTACCATGTGCTATACATGTTAACTACATTAGAAAAACTCAGAACATATTTTTTAAAAACACAGCGAAAGAAGATACAGCTATTAGCTCAAACACAATTTTTAAGATTTAATGTAATAAAGTAAAGAGGCTAATTTAAAGCTAAAAATATTCTCTAAGACAATAAGAACAAAATTGTTTTCTTGGGTTTAAGCAAATACTAGACATCAAAAACCATACCAAGTTCCTTACGACTTTTAATGAAAGTAATAGTCATGCGGCTGTAATAGAAAGTCGTGGTCATGTAACAACCATACCCCGAGCTCAGCATTTACCCCATGGAAACATAAAATCCCAGCAGAAAGCATGACTAATGTTGGGAAAACTCTACAACAAAACAAAAAGGTTCATTGTCCACAATATTCTTAAAGAAGAGCTTTGAAATTGCTTCTAGATTTTTGAGCTTAAGAACTCATGAGGATATGAGGAATATTTTTATTCATTCCTTTAATAAATATTTGCTAAATGTCTTTTGTGGGTTTGTGCTGCTTTGCCACAGTACAAAGTGCTTACAGTCTAATGAAGAATACAAGGTGTTAGTTAGTACTAATATCTGAATCACACGGTAAGAATAGGCAATTGCTACACAAAAGGTCAGCCATTTGTTTTTTGTGATGCTACTAGTTATTCTCTATTATCCCCCAAAATTGAAAAGTTTGTACTGGAGGGTTGAATTCAGGGCCTTTCATTTGCTGGGCAGGTACACTACCACTTGAGCTACTCTACCAGCTTTTTTTGTGTTGGTTATTTTTGAGGTAGGGTCTCATTTTATGCTGAGGCTGGTCTGGACTTTGATCCTTTTATTTATGCTTCCCCACATAGGTAGGATGACAGGTGTGTACCACTGCACCCAGCCTTTGGTTGAGATGGGGAGGATCTCGTGAACTTTTTGCCCTAGCTGGCCTTGAACCACAATCCTTCAATCTCTAACTCCAAATAGTTAGAATTATAGGCTTGAGACACCAGGCCTTAAAAATTAGAAGTTTAACACCATAGTGGTAAAAACATTTCCTTTTGGTGTTACACAGCAGTAATGCTAAATAAGCTAAGCTCTACTTGCTTAAGTCTTGCAGGGAAGATAATGTTCTCAGAAGTAACTGAACTACTAAAAGAGGTCATTTATTACAGCCACCTGGTAAATATAAATGAGCATTCTTATTTCTCAATCCTCTTCTTTAACTGAAATATTTCCTTTCGTTTACTAAACATATGTAACTTTTACAACTTAGTGCCAAGAAGAAGGGTAATAATTACAGATAGCTTTTTAAAAAACATTTCTCCATGTGTTATGCACTTAGTATACTATTTCAAATAATTTTTAGAACACACTTTGCAGGCAATGCTATCATCTCTGTTTTATCAAAGAGGAAAAAGCACAGCTTGGAAAGAATGATTAGTTCTCCCAGAATTACTCAGCTAGTGAATAATTTGATGTTGGAATCTCATTTGTCTGGTTTCCGGGTCCATAGGCTTCACCCTAATGCTAGGTTGTCTCAATGACAGATGAATTGAGATTATCTAAGTCCCTATAATCATTCTATTGCTGACTTGACAAAGACTTCAGGCAGCTACAGCTGTATGTCCAAGCTAAGATCCTTTACCAGTGGAACACAAGCACTCAGAAAAAGAATTAGTACATCCCAATGTCAATGACTTATTTCCTGACTGTGGAGGTTTATAATCTACCACCATTCGTGTGCAGCAATTATTTTTCTAACTATCAATTGCTAAGAATTATTTTCTTTGGAGACCAAATGAGTAAGGCCTTCACAAGGTGGCAACTGTGTGGCTGGAAATATAAAGTGCACAAGTGTAGTGAAAAAAGAGAGGAATGCTGGGAAAACAGTAAAGTGTAATCTAGGAATAAGTACGTTGGGAGGTAAAGGTGAAGATCTCACCTCACTTGGTGAATCACATATATGGGGTGCAACACAGTGAGATAAAGAAAGAGAACTGAATATCTTCCCCTCCTGACTCAAATGTAGCAGCTAGTATGTGAGTGAAAGGGTGAGCACATGTCCCTTGGGCCACTCATTTGTGGAATCTCAGGGTCTCAACATCTTAGTGGAAGGGGGCACAGACCCAAATTGCAAGAGTTTGCATAATTTCCTACTCTAATTACTTTTACAATTTTTGGTTTTAACAAAGGCCAAGTACAGGATTAGTTCAAATGTAAACCTCATAAGTTATCTATGCAATCTAGAATCTGCAAATTCAAGTTTTCCTTCATAACCAAGGCACTAGTGTTACGAGTAGATCTATGTTTCTCAAGGATTTGTTTCTATTTGTTTTTACATGTATTCACTCTATTTCCAGTCACTCTTTTTTCTTCCATTCTATTTTTATTTATTTATTTTGTGTTTTACTCTTTCCTAACTTTACATTACCATCTCTCTCTTTCCATGACCCCAGACTTTTGAAAATAATACTTAGTTTTTAATGTTAACCAAGTAGGCTGTCAACAGAAGCTGTTAATTGACAGATGAGCTGGCACTGGCAGGGAGATAATTTAAATTTGTTGTATTTAGATGTTTGTTTATTCAGTGTTATCAATAGTCACCACAGAAATCCACAAGTGAAAAGTTTACCTCGGAGTGCAAAAGATGTATAATATTGAAGGAAAAATTACTTTAATACTTTAGTCTTTCTCTTTTGTCTCTTTCTACATTTTAGTAACTAAAGAGAATGAAAAGAAAAGAGTAAATATTTAAAAAGAAAACTGCTTGATTGGGGGGCTTGTCTACTGTCCTGCTCTGTCCATACCTCTTCTGCTACAGACTGTAGGAACACACAATCAGGAAGAGACTTTAAAACACATCTCTGTGCATATTATTTCTAAAATTCAATTTCTTTCAGTAAAACTGGATGCATTTGCTGTTGCAAAATAGCCTATTCTGTAAATATGTTCAAGTATACTTCTATTCAAAAAAGTATTGCAAACTTTGGACAATATAAGCATAGCCTAATATGTTCAAGAATTGAAACGAATATCACTTCTTTTAGTGGCCATAGTGCACATTCCAGTGCCTACTTGTTAAAAGAACCAAGACTAGAGTAGAAAGTCAGAGTGTAGATCTGTTTGCTCATGAAACATTAATTGCGTAAATGTTAAGGACCAGTTGCTGATAACAAAGGTCTAATTCCTTAGGCATATGCAGTCTAGCCCACTTTCCAAATGCAATTAATTTTCCTTAGGGAAAAATATCAAAGGATAAATGCATTTGTAATACAATATTTTAAATGAAAGGCTTTAATTTAATAGTACTTAGCTGCCTGTTTTAGCATTGATACGAATGTCAGGCAGTTTTGTGAAATTGTGATTATTTAAATTGTGAATTAATTAGAATCAGTCCTGAAGCAAAAGTCCTTCAGCAAAGACATTTTTTGGGGAGGTGGATTTAAGGTGGAGAATAACTGTGCTATTAAGGCTGACTGTTCTACAATGCAGAAACCTCCATCAGTGAATGGACTCCCCCTCTAAGCTGCCTTTCACCATTTCACTATTCTTTTGTAGAATTCAGAAAGGTAATCGTTTGGCATGGTGGTGCACATCTATAATCCCAGCTACTCTGGAAGCACAGATAGGAGGATTAAGGTTTGGAGGACAGTCTAGGCAAGAGCACAAGACCCTATCAAAAGCAAAATAAAGCAAAAAAAAGGAGGGGAGGGGGGAACTGGGAGTATGGCTAAAGTGGGACGTGGTAGAGTATTTGCCTAGCAAGCAAGAGGCCCTGAGCTCAATTCCCACTAAAGCCAAACAAAAAGGATGAAAATTTTGTACACAGTTAGCTATATGTTCTGCTAATTAAAAATTAAAATGCAATTTCTTCTAAAGTGCACAGCTTGCAAGAGTAATGGGCTGGGTGCTGCTTTTGATAGCAAAAGAGGTGTGTGGGGGTGTGGGGGTGTGGCTGTGTGTGTGTGGAGGGGGTATGTGCTGAGGGAAGTGTCTCCAATTCCCAGCGAAATGGGTCACATGAAGTCAGTCCATGTTTCTGTAGTAACACAAGGCACTGTGGCAAGAACTCAAGACCTCTAGGGGACATAATCAGAGGTCTCCTGAGCATTACAAGTTCCGTTTGCCTCAGATGAGGTGATACATAGGTGAACTGCCTAGTTGTCACATACAGGAAACCCATCCCACTTGGGATAAGACTTAGAGCCCATCCTTTGAAAGTAAGGAACCAGAGTTTCACTCTCTTAAAAATCAAATCATTGCCACCAAGGTGGATTACGTGCATATCTGCTATATTTTGCAGCTAAGAAAGGGACTTTCAGCCTCCTTTAAAGTCCTTGTGAAAGCCAGACTAATAATGTCTAAGTATCAAAGCTTCAGGTAGAAGAGAAAAAAATTCCTGCCCTGTCCCTCAAGCCTTCCTTCCTCTTCCCCTGCTAACATCAGAGAGGCTTCGCTCTCAGACAAACAAAAGTCTTTCAGGATGTATGTTTTTTTAAAAAAATAGAAAAACCAAAGAATTAGGACCCCAAAAAAGTTCAAGAAGGGCACCCAGAGTGTGCAAACTGCACACTTTCCAAAGTTCGCTTAGGAAGGTGGATTGTGGCAGGAGAGGTGGGCTGTTCCAACAGACAGGCGGATGTGGGCCTGGCATCTACTCACATTTCTCCGTCCTCTGAGTCGCTGGCCGAGGCCCACTCCTCGCCAATGTTGGGCAGGATGAAGAGTTGGGTCTTGTGGCCAGGTCCCGGGGCCATCCAAGAGCTGGGCTCTCGCTCTCCAGGGCTGGACTGGCGAGTGACCCGTGGACTGGCGGACACAGTGCTGCCCCCGAAGCCGGCAACAGATGGCATCGCTGCCCAGACCCCGCCAGGACCGGGGGGCAACCGCGCCAGGGCCACCAGGTGGCCGGGGGAGCCGGCGGCGCTGCAGCCGCCGCTGGAGGGGGTGGGGGCGGGAGTCGGGGTCGCGGTCTGGGCTGAAGGCTGGGGTGGGGGCTGGGGTTGGAGCTGAGCTCTGGTTACCCTCGGACTGCCAGGCAAGGAGAGGGGGGACCCTACTGCTTCTGCCCCGCGGCTCGTGGCCGAGGCCCGGGGGTTGGAGACGGCCACCAGGGGCTGCAGCGGGGTGTGCGGTCCCCGCGGGGCGCAGCAGTCCCGAGCCAGTGAGGGGAGTAGAGTCACGGTCACCCCCGTGCTAAGCGAGGTGCCCGCGCCCGAGCCCGCCGGCCCCATGGACCCTGAGATTGCCGTGCCTCCTGGGTGGCTGGAGGGAGCGACAGGAGAGGGGACAGCGGGGGACGCCGTCGATGTCTTGAAGATTTTGGCAAAGAGAGACCCGAGGTCCAGCACGGCCACCTTCATGCTTTGGCCTTGGAAGTGCGGTCCTCCCTGCTGCTTGAACCTGAAGAACACCAGGAGCTGCCCTGCGAGGCTCCATCCACAGCAGCCCGCGGGGATCTGGACCCGTGCTGGTCCCCGCACACCACCGAGCCCCAGCGACCTCGGGTTCTCTCCCCACCCCAGGGACTTCTTCGGACGGACCTTTGCTGACCGCCTAGCTGGGTCCCCACTACCGCTGAGGCTACAGGTGGCGACAGCTGGACCTTAGCCACCCTCTGCACGGAGCATCCTCCCTTTGCAGGTGCGGGGACACCTCCAAGGGTCCTGGAGGCCTGGCAGGGGACCGGCTGTGGCTGCTCAGCCACCACAGCTTAGTGCGCAGATTGCCGCCCGCCTCGCTGTCTGGAGACACCCCGACCTCCCCGGGCGGGTGCTGGCGGTTGCTAAGCTAAACAAAAACCCTGCTTAGCTCACTGCTAATTGGGCCCCGACTGTAGCTCATGGCCCTGTCTACAATAGCAACCCTGGCTGCCTCCTTGATTCAAGCCTTAAAGGAACAGTCTCAAATTTCTCCATCACCCTCAGAGTTTCTCCACATTCTTGATAGCCCTGGGAAACATAACCCTGGTTCCAAAACGGTTTAGGGATTCCACGCAGTCCTACAAGGTCAAAAGTGGGAAGTCAAGGTTAGTTCTCTAATGTAAGGGGAGGAACATAAAAAGCTACATTCAAGGGAATATGCCTAAAACATCAGCAGGGTCCACTTCCCCTATTCCAGAGTCATGTTCAAAGTGTGTCGCTGAAGATGACATAGGAGAACAATATTGAGGTGCTTTTTCCAAGAACTTGGAAATAGAATTGGGCCTGAGAGTTGACTTAGTAATTCTACATACATGTTTATGTTCAAATGCCTATCAGAGTGAACCAACATTTTGTGTAACTGAGTACTGAAAAGTTTGTGGTCTTTAATCTAACTGGCTGGATATGAACTACAGCGTCAAAGACAGGAAAGGTAAGAGGTTTTTGTTTAATTGTTTGTTTGTTTGGGGGTTTTTTGGTCCACAGATTTTAATTTATTTTTTATTGGCATATAATAGTTATACAGAGAAATACATTGTGGTATTTACACGTGTTTACAATATATCTTAGATCATTCTCCATCATTCCCTCTTTCCCTCTCCCCCTTCTTAGAACAATTTCAACAGGTTTCTTTCTTTTATTATCATACATGAATAAAAAATACATCCACCGTATCCACCCTCATTCACCCTTTCATTATACCCACCTCCCCTCTCACTGGTACCTCCCCTGAAAAAGAACTGTTTAAGATAAGAGTTCTTAAGAGGAACAAATTACATTTTGCTTAATTTGAACAAATATAACTGAAAGGTAGAGAATGAGTGTGAATGTCTGTAGCAGAGTGGGATCAGTTTTGAGAAAGGGTTTTTTTGGTTTTATTTTGTTTTGGGGTGTGTGTGTGTGTGTGTGTTAAAAAAGACAAACATTAGCAGAGTTTATCTATTGATATTCAGTTTTGACATCAGGAGATACATTTTCTGATTTGGGGCAAGGAATGGAGAAGACTAAGTAGGGTGGTAAATAAATAAACTGGCATTCATGGCATATACTTTAGCCTTTAGTAAGTTATTTAACTGTATTCTGAGCCATGGTAAATTTTCACATGCATTAGTCATGTGAAACACTTTAAAAGAGGAAATATTTATTTTGGTTCATAGTTTGAGAGGTTTTAGTCCACGCTTGCTTGGTCCCATCACTATGGACCTGAGCAAAGGTTGAACAGCACGGGGATGGAGGGGAGCATGTGGCAGAGCAGAGCTGTCTTGTGGCAGCCAGAAGTAGAAAGAGACAGAGATAGAAAAGGGCTAGGGCAAGATATAGTCCCCAGGAACATGCCCCCAGTGACCTTCTTCCTCTAGCCAAGCCATACCTTCTAAAGTTTCTAGCTCTACCATAGCCCTCACCAGCTGGGGGCCAGGCTTCAACAGGTGAACCTGTGGGCAAAATTTCATGTTCAAACCATAATACCATACAATGCCAAGCTTCATGTTTTCTTGTAGACAGCTAATATTCTGCTTATTTTATTGACAACCTATTGTGATCCCTTTTCTGCATCCCACGACTACCAACAGAATGTCAGAGGCACTTTTCTAGAACTTCAAGATTGCATTAAGCACTGAGAGTCTAGATGAAGCCATGCTCTTCCCAGACAATAGGAAAATCAATTTCATATAGTATGCTGTGTCAAGTGAGTGCCTAGTTGGTGGTAGTCATTGCACTCAGCATTAATTGGGAGAAAGCAGGACATTGGGTACATGAGGGGTAAGAGACATAGCAAGAAGATCAGATTCTAATTAGATGTCAGGAAAGGCAAGGGTATACAGTGTCAGCAAATAAAGCCCTCAGGGAAGAGTCAAAATGAGGGAAAAAGAATATAAGTAATAGACACATCCAGTATCAGCAGAGGTAGTTGTCTCAGGGTCAAACCAGGGAAGCTGAGATAAATCTATTATAGTACAAGGGCACAAGAAGAAGGTTGTTGTTGACTCATCAATATTTCCCATGTTCTCATCATTCCTCTCCCTCCACAACTCACTGGCTAGTCTCCAGAGTATGAAAGGTCCATCAGAGCACTGGACCATTTTCATACATTACTTTAGAATTGCCAACTAGTCTCTAGATTTCTTTGTTTATATCATAAGGATCTTGATTCTGATTCATAGATCTGTTAATCAGATCACTGTCACTGTCAATGCAAGTAAAGATGATTCCTGGAGTACAGGTTTTCAGTGACTAAACTGCTTATCATCTGATTGATTCCAAATGCATGTAATTAATTTGAAGGGATAGGCAGCGAGACAGGACCATTACTGATTTGACTCATTCAGATTCTCTTGAAGGCAGTGGTGATTCACTGATACATCTCAGGATTACTGATTTTTCAGGCTGAAAAATCTGATTGATCCAGATCAACCTCTCAGGATGCAGCCCTGATAACCTGACAAATCAAACACTAATGCAGAGTGTTACATCTTCTGCCCTTTCCCTATGAGAGGAATTCTTGTTAACATCAAATTAGATTGAGTGCTTTTAGGGTGAGCATGGAATCCAAGAAAGGGGAGTGAGTTATCTGGTTTACACATGGGAGACATTAGCCGTTAGAGCTAATCGTGCTCTCTTTTGTGCAGGAGAACTGTACCTGAACAATGGTGCATATTTTCCACCTCCATTACTTAACTAATTTCCTCCTGTGGACATGCATTTCTTTAGTATGTGGATACCTTAATAAAGCTACAGCTGAGTGCTGGTGGCTCATGCCTATAATTCTAGCTACTCAGGAGGCAGAGATCAGGAGGATCTTGGTTCAAAGCTAGCCCTGGCAAATAGTTCATAAGTCCCTGTCTCAAAAATACCCATCACAAAAAGGGCTGGCAGAATGGCTCAAGGTTGAAGGCACTGAGTTCAAGCCCTAGTACTGCAAATAAATAAATAAAGCTACAGAAAAGTTGCACGCTCTTCCATTTCCCATCCTTGAAAGTTTTCTCTCTCTAAGGTCTGTTTGTATGTATCCTATCTGTTATGGATTGAGTTGTTTCCTCCAAAAAGATATGGTGAAATCCTAAACTAGACTGGGATTAAGGTGCTCCTTAATCCCAGCACTCAGGAGGCTGAGGCACAAAGATCTAGAGTCCAGGGCTATATAGAAGATCCTGTCTCAAACAAACAAAAAGAGTGAAGTCCTAACTTCCAGTTTGTCTACATGTGACCTTATTTGGATGTGGGACTTT